ATTTAATTTTGTTTTATGAAACAAAAGCTGCAGCAAATTCTACAACGTGCTGAATTTATCTAATGTGTGTGTTCAAAATGTGAAAATGTGAGTAGATGTATTCAGGAGATGAGCAATAAGGAAGAAACAAAATGTTCATAAAATTTATTAACTTTTTTTTAAATTATTTGGTTTTCTTTGTCAAGATAAGAGTTCCCTTGAGATTTTTAGTATGTAGAGATGTGGAAGTAACTTATGTTCTTCAAAATTCACCAGCATTTTATACTCTGTAATGGTACTTCTCACATGAGGGAATAATTCTAGCCAAATCACTTAAGCTCACCAGACTAAACACTTTGTACAGTATAAAGTTATTGAATTTGAATACATATACAAAACATCTGCACCTAAAATTGGTGTCTAACATGGTTCATTCATGCTTGTGCAAATTAAGTAATAATAATGATGGTCCATTACTGTAAAGCTAATGTAAGGTTTTTGTCTGTAACTACAAAAATACATATACTGCAATAGAAATGTCCGAATACCATGTTGACACTATCCTAATTTTGTTATACTATAAAGCTCAGCTCTAACCAGGGCTCTTTGCTGTATTCTATTGGTTCTCCACCTGATTAATTCCTTACTCTATGAATGTTTATCAGTACTAACAGAAGAATTTCGGTGCCATTACACATAATTCAGAGAAGAGAGTCTGGAAAAGCAAAAGCCTTTCTCTTGGGATCTCTGGTTACAGAAGCCAGACAGAAGGACCTGAAAAAGGCCTCCTGGATGTTTTTAGCGGGGATGGAGTGTTGTCGGTTGTTTTCACGTGGTCTGCAAGAAGAAAAACAGCTTAGAAATCAGTTTTTCTGCATGGGCAGCTGTAGTCTGTCAGAATTTGAAAAACACACTGTATGTCTCTCAGAAGGTAAGTGAAATGTGAAAGTATATGACAGCCAGATATAAGCACTGCTACTATTGGAGCATAAACAAATAAACTTTTCTATCAAAAATACCTACATTGAAGCTTTGTGTTCAGCTCAGCTTCTCAAAACCTTAAAAAACATTTCTGAACACTGATTTGAAATCTAAATGGCTTCTCAGATGGGCTATATTTATGTTTCTTTGCTAACTGCCAAAACCTTTCACAGTAGTTTTTTTGTTCATACAAAATATTAGGAGCAAGTCTACATCCATCTGTACCTGAAGACTTTGGTAGCAGTGAAAAGAAACTGAGGACTTCCCTATTCATCCCTTGTCTTTCATTCATCTCCTATCTTACAAGTTTCATTTGTCAGATCAGAAAACAGAAAAAAATGGCTAATGGCTAAGATAACTAATCATGCAACTGAATGATAAGCAGTCCATAGTTCACACATAATCAGCCTACATGATCAATGGAGGGAAATTCAGCAAATGCCTGCATATACCATAACCCATTTTTGTTAAAATCAAGATTGTATTAACCTTATTTTTTGCTTTCTACAGTATCCTTTAATATTGAAATCCCTATAATAAATCCTAGCTTTTTCAATCTCTTCCTGACACATTTCAGGTTTCTTGCACTTGTACAACTCATGGACATCATTATTTCCTGCTATTTTGCTGAAAGAAAGCCAATTTAAGAGAGCTTCACCTTGGTTTGGGGGCAAAGGTGTTCAAGGTCATGTCTCATTATACAGAAAGGTAGCAGTGGCTGCCCTTACTTGTCAGGGCCACAACAGCTGTTTGATTAGAGGTACATGTCTGACACTGGGATGAACTGGAACTAGGGCAAGGACTTTAGCTTAGACCCTCATTTATTTCTAACTTTGGTACTCAGGATGATGTTAGAGGACTGGCATGCTCTAATAGCAACATTGATTTCAAATGCAAACATACAATTTCAAATCAATGAGAAAATTTTTGGGGTTTTATGGCCATCATTGAGTGGTAACTTGTATGTTTTTATGGAAAATAGTAGACAGATCGGGTAAACTTAAAAGGAGGATGAAGACATAAGCACAGAATGAAACACTGAACAAGCACTTGAAAAGTGACTGAAATCTCTGTGGCTAAAAAGGTGACTTGGATTCATGAACATTGTCCATTGAACTTCGCTGCATTCAAAAAATAAAAGTTCTTGCGTTTTTGAACTTAAACAGTAGTGCATTCAAGCTACCCCCGTCCATGGTTTGTTTCTTTTTGTAATGACCCTAAACTTCACTGCTCAGTACAAAACATCATAATGATATTGTTATGAAACTCAAGTTGATCTTGCTAAGTTCTGAATGAAACAGCCCCCCCCCAAAAAAAAAAGTGCTGAGATGTAGCACATATATTAAATGAAATAGCATCTCTGTATATAATAATTTAACAAATGCTGCTCATAGGGAAAACTATAATGACAGAGCTGTAAGAGACTGGTGTTCTTGGACTTAGCCTTCGAAATTGAATATCTTGAGCAATGCAGTTCTCCAGCAATTTCATGCATTTTCTCAGCTAATCTCACATCACCAATATCAAGGTTGTCATACTGATTTTAAAGGGGAGGTAAAAAAAATGGGAAGGTGGATTGCCTTTGTCAATCTTGAACACGGTTGCCAGGCAACTTGATGACCTGACTTGGGGTAGATTGTTACAGTGACCTGACTAAATACCCCCAAATCACCGGAGAATTTATAAAGAAAATACAGCAAAGTTGGATTCTTTCTGCAGTTATAAGCATTAAGTTTCAGGTTTTCCTCTGTAAAGAATAATATACACAAGTTGTTCTTGTTATAAAAAGCAAGTTATATTATTTGTGCCAATTAAAAATGGATAATCACATAATAGAAGTAGAATGGTCTATTTGGCACTGAAATCACTTTGAATTTACGTTGTTTCCATTTTGAGTACTAAGATTGAAATATATAATTAATTTGGTATCTTATTTTGTCTCTTAGATGTGTTATTCTGGAGGGCTGAGTAGAACAGATATGTGCAGATTAAGCCAAGATGTTTTAAGGAAATCTTTGAAATGCTGATTTATATTATAAATTTTGACCTTCTATTTTCAGGCTGCGATTCTAAACTGAGTTACACCAGGCATATAAAACACATTGCTTTTTTTTTTTTTTTTCTACACTCAAAGCCTGCTTTCAATAACTTTTTAACTTTTCCAAATAATAGCTATACTTATATTGGGTGAAATCAGATGTATTTTCATGAATTATTTTATAGATCTGTTATATCAACAGTGTTTGAATTTCTGTTTGCACCAACAAATGCAAGCAAAAGGGAGGCACTCAGACCTATTTCTAACATCTTGTTCTGAGGCACTTGATCTTTTCATAGTTTTCACCTAATTGAGTCATAAGAAGACAACTCTGAAAGTGTATTACATCCTGAATGGTACAGGTCTCTGTAGAATTGAAGCATCCAAGAGAGAGACTTTTCTTGCTAAGAGGTACACAAAACAGTTGAAAAAAATAGAACAGTCTGTGAAATATTTGAGGCAGAAGAGTGTACTTTGAAATTCCATTAATTTATAGATGTCTTGGTAAGATTATGAGTGATAGGTGAAACAAAACACTTTGAGGAAAGTACATTGGAGAACGTAAAATTTACCAGTCCTAAACTCAGTTAGAAATTGCCATATAAGAGCATTCTGGACTGAAGCTTTTTGTAAGTATGCCATCGTGGGCTTTCTACAGTGAGAAGTTTATGAAAAAATACCTTCTAAGAAAGATATATGGAGCTCAGGGTGATGATTCATGAAATGACACAGAACTGGTATGAAGAACTTCACAGTTGAAGGCAAAAAAACAGACTCTGGAATTGGGTGAAAGTACCATAATAGATTCTATCACTTTGCAGTAATGTATAACATAGATGTTGGCAGGCATTGGAAAACTTGTGGTTGAACACAGCAGGTGTTTCTCACTAGGAAAGACTAGTGGATAATATTCTACGAGTTTACAGCTGAGACATTAGTCTTAGAAGTAACAAAACTTCTATTAATGGAAAATAATAGGAATATAAAATAATAGCACAAACTTGGTGCCACTAGATCTCAACAAGACCTTTGTTTGTTGTTTCATGTTGTTTCACGATGTTTCTCATTTCATATTGTATTGTTCCTAAACAATATAGATTAAGATGAAGATTAAGCAATTCAGTCTAAGGTGAAGACAACGTTTAATGTAAGAATGATAAAGAAGACAAAGAACTATTTAGGGTAGGCCTCACTGGATTGTACTGGGAAGGAATTATGAGTAAATAGCGGTGTCCTACAGAAAAAGATTCTGGGGCCTTTTTTTTAATATTGCAGTTAGTGGTAACTCAGTGCTGCAGGGAAGGATCTACCACTGTTTGGAGGAGAGATCATGACCAAAATGATGGCCTGCATTTTGTGTCTGGTGCAATCCAATGGGTCAACCTGAAAAATAGAGTTTGACCACTTTGTGGGGTAGTGCAAACAAAATAATGGTGAAATGCTGCAGAAGAAAATGAGAAGCCAAACTTTTGCAGACCAAATAGAAGAAAAGCTTCCATTTATGCTACTGAAAGAAAGAAAAATAAAACAAACAAACAAACAAAAAAACCACCCAAGACTATACAATTTGTCAGCAATTGGTCCTAGAAATTAAAAGAAATTTTATGACTGTACCAGGTCCACAAGTTTTAGTAACTTTTCAGATAGTGATGGGGACCTAAATTGTTTCAAGATGAAGCTTAATAAGTCTGTACAAAGGATTGTCTGATATACTAGAGGTGATCTGGTGTTCAAAATAAAAGCCTGAAGATGACACTTTCTGATATTCTTGAAATGGAGTTGAAAGCAATGTAATCAACACTTTTTTTTCCATATATTTATACTGAAAATCTATTTTAGTCATATATGTATACTGAAAGTGCTGTATACTTTAGGTCATACGTAAGAAAGTGAAAAAAAGTGAACAAATTAATATTTTTACCTTTCCCCATAGCTTGGTTTCCCTCTTCATGTGCAACAGGGATTATCTAGAACACTACATGATGGGTGGGATGCTCTGACGTGCCTCACAATACTGAGAAACTCACACTTAGCTGTTGTGTCTTCTAGTGCTAATGAAGTGATTGCCAAACACTGGAACAAGAAGCTGTTTACCCAAGGTCAGAGTCTTAGGAACAATTTATTTTCCTCAGTAACGTGTATGTAATGTACTGTATGTAATGTGATGTAATCCATGTTTTCAATCATATCTGCTGTTTTTCAGTGGCATATTGTGAGATTTTTTTATTTTGTCCTTCAATACACAAGTTTGTAAACATGGTGGATGCTGTTCACCTGCTCTGGCATAGGAAGTCAAAAATAAAAGTTTGTCATATAGTGACCTATATAATAATAATCTGAACTAGGTGGTTCAAGTGGCATGGTTGTATGTTTTAAGGCACTTCATATGCATTACTGGGTGAGCATGGGTTAATATGTGGGTAATATCAAGGTGGGTATAATTCATTAAGAAACTAAAAAATCTTTATAGCTGTTTCCTAAAACATCTGTTTCTGACCTTATTAAAAGCCTAAAAAGGCTTTTAGTAGTACCTGGAACTGGAGATTTTCCTCTTTCAATTTTGTCTGTGTTAAGGAGTAGAAAACATAAAGGTCAATCAAATAATTTCAGGTTGTCTCTGGAAATTATTTCTTTTTATTATTCCTTTGGATTGTTCAATAACAATCTGGCATTTGCTTAACAAGACAACATCCTTTCTGTTCACAGGTCTTTTTTCAGAAATTAGCAGTCTACGAAAGATAATGAGCTCAGTGAATCTTATTAACACAAGTTACAGCTGACTGACAAGTACCTGTCTGTCATGTAATCTAATAATGGTATTATAATTCAATTAACTATTGATTTTAGTTACCAATACTATATTCTAACTGTTGCAGAATAACACTCAATATCTGTAAAGTTTTATGATTAATACAAATTATATCAGTCCCAGACATCGCTGAACTCTCAGACATTATAGAAATGTATATACTTTATGTTTAATGAAAACACTATTCATTTTCATGTATGTACTAGCTATGAGCTATACTGAAATTTCTTTTAGTTGATCAAACTAATTATACTTGGAAATAAAGTAGGGATTATTTGCTGTTTATTTAACACTTATGTAGACCTGATGGTTTATCATTTGGCACTTGTACAGCCATTTGTACCTATGCAAAATGAATATAAAACAGGCATGAGGCCGTATTGTCCAGAGTGTTGATTTATCTATCCCATTGGACTAGCATAGACGAATGCACAAATGGCAAAGTGTTTTGCTCTCAAGCATGAAGAGAGAGTTGAGAGTCCAATTACAAATGCTAGGCTGAATTGACAGATGCACTACTGCTTCAATGAGTCTCAGGCCACCCTAACACTTTTTTTCACACCAGGGGCTTGGGAAGGAAAGGTGAGAGAATTTCTCCCATTTTCTCAGCTAGGGCTTTATTAATTTCTCATTGATGGCAGTAGTCAGGCAGTCAGGCTGGGGAGCCATTGATGCTTTGCTTCCGCTCAACTTGCCATAACTATTATAACAGAGAAGAACAGACAGACAGAAGAATCTGTGTCTAGCATTTATCCAACAGTGGAGATAGACAGTATAATAGATTTGACTTAGTCTGAGGAGGGAAATAAAACTATAGCTATGCCACTAAATACTACCTACACTCTGGTCCAACATTATAAAAATATACAGCAGCTGTCATTTACTTTATGATGATTCTTGATCTCATAGAATCATAGAATCACGTTAGCAATTATATGTTTTCAAAAATATCTACTGCAGTGATCACTTTAAGGCCTTATCAACAACATTTCTCTACTGAGTTTCCCAGTAAATTTTAAGCAAGAGTGATGTGTTGAGAAGCACAGTCGCAAGAAGTTATAAATCTTTTGATTATTGTCACTTGATTACATGAACCTATAAAGCAGAAAAGCCTAGTGTGCAGGTGTGTCTTCAAGACCCATGTAATTTTGGAATTGTGTGCCAAAAATCTAATTCCGATTTAGGTTCTTAATTCCCACTTTTTGGATGTGGCCAGTTCTCAGTTAGTTCTCTACCGGTGGGTACAGTCCCTACAGCCCTCCTACAGCAGTCTTTCAGGCTACTCATGTTTGAATCCTTTTTGAACTGTCCTGGGGGCAAAAGACTTTAAATCCAGTTCTTACAATGTAAAGTGATACTTTCCTAAGAGCTTCTGCTGCTGCCTTTCTTGACTTGTTTGGATTTCAGCTCATATTGCTTTAAAATCAACTGTGTATATATTTTGATTTAGTATGTATTTTCTATAGTAGTATGAATGTCCACCGTGCACTATTCCCTGAATCTGGTTACACCATAAGCTACAAAATCTTAGGGTCTTTTACTTGACAGATCTATCAATCAGTTTAAATGACTGTGGCTTGCCAGTTTGCCTATATACCAGTTATACAAACAGCCTGGAAAGACCAGCAAAAAATGTAAGTAATTCAAAGCAAGAGCCTTTTATGACTATTACACATAATTTACATATACAGAATAGTATATTAAAATGACTTAGTAAAAAGAAAAGCCATTGCAGAGCATTACTTATTAATGCCATTGTTTACCTCGTTTCTTGTTCCAATATGGCCCAAGCCCAAGCAATTTGTTTTGTCGGTGGCCCTGCCAGAAGACACAGACGGCAAGTTAAATGTAATAAGCAGTCTGCCTACTTTCGGGAAAGTAATACATTATTTTTCTCTCACAAACGGATACCTATCACCAGCCCCTGCAAATAAGCATTTTAACATGCGTTGCATCTTGGCTGACTCATGTCTCGTGTAGTCTCAACAGATAAGCAGCTCTTCAATATGACTCAATTTTGTTATTTTCTGAATTCTTTTCTACAGGATATATCACTGTAACAGATGAAAGCAGTACAGGTAGGAAAGCCTTTCACACCTTTGGTTTTGCTAGTGTGACTGCAACTGAAAATTTGGTGTCAGGGTCACCTGCTATGTCCCATAAAAAGAAAATCATAGGATGGCTGCTAGCCATGTTCTTAGACTGCTAACACATGCAGTCATTTTAGTACTAATTTGTCCCCTAAGATAAATATATAAAAGCAGGTATGATATGTCTGTGGCTTTTACAGTTTCACTGCAAGTCGCTTGTAGAGATTTTCACAGATATTGTCTTGGATGGGCTGTGACTCTTCAGTGACAGAAAAGTAAGTGAGAGGGACACATTTTGCCATTCACAGATGACTTATTTTCTTTATATATGTATGCCCAGATTATGAAGTAATAATGGAATATAAACAACTTAAACTTGTTTTTCATTTTATTCAATGTATGCCTTCAACCATAACTGCTAAAATAACAGGACAGGTTGGAAATAAATATAAAATGTGCCTTTTAACATGGTGCAGTGTAGAAGCATCCCTTCACCTGCTGTCATGGCCCTGAAACACTGTCAGCTTGCAGTCACAGCACTCAATCAAAACCAACATTATTACACAGACAGTCAAACCCTGTTGAAAGCAAACACTATTTAAGGATTTAATAGCAAACCGGATCATTATAATTATGATATCAAAAAAAGCCTTGATGTAATAGAGCTCTTTAATTCTTAACACACTTTGCTTTGATGTTTACCTGAGTTGGTTAATAAAAATCACACTGCTGGATGCTGGATGAGAACTGTAGCTTTTAAAATGGACAGGCATTGGAACAGCCCTCACTAAATTACCCTGTTGTCTGCCACTTCAGTTCATTGTCCAGGGTCTCAGGACAACCTGGCTGTTTCTGAAGGGAATCTTCATGACTCAGTTGACTGAAAAGACACCTGAGTTAATTAGGAATGAAGAAGAAAAGGAGCCAGTTTTACATGAGTGGGCAAGACGTTTATGCTTATGGCTGAGTCTGCAACATGAGCAGGCAGCCCTGCAGTTTGTCTTCAACCCTACTAACAGAACCTGTTTGAAGCCCTTCTCCAAGCCCATGAGCTTGGATTTCACCACATTGGAAAAACGGATGCGCACAATTTGATGGCTCTGTACATACCAATATGGCTTTTTATGGGAACAGGCAAGGTCAGGACTGCATCATCCAGTATGCAACACACTTTGCGCAGAGACAGAGCATGGGTTCTTGAGGCAAGACTGTGAGACCTTCCTGTGGCATTCCTCATCTTGTGTGGATTCACCTAAATCTTACCAGAATGATGTTTAAAAACCTTAACAAAGAGCACAGAATAGAGGCACCACAATTCTATAAATACTAGGGACTTAATTAAAAAAAAAAAAAAAGGAGAAGGATTGAGAGAATGAGGTGGGTTTTGTCTCTGCCGCAGAAATAACCCCAAAATCACATCTTTCTGGACAGGGTTTACTTGCAGAAGAACCACTTCTGATTTTTTGCTAGAGAAGACAAAATTCTGTGACACCATTTTCAAAGATAAAACAACTGTAATCACATCTCTCATCCTGAGCATTTGACCACCTGGAGGTAAAGGTCTTGGTTACAAGGATTCACCGTTTCTTCTAGTGAAAAATAGTCAAGGTACCATGGTATCTTGTTAGTTATCAGGTTCTGCTACCTGGGAAAGAAAGAGGTCAAGATTTGAATGCTGATATAAAAATAATTTGAGATAACCAGCTTCTTGCTTGAATATGCCATGTTGTGGGCCTACTATTCCAAAGAGCCTAAGGAACATAAGAAAGCAGCCCTAGGCAATACTGCAAGGGGCACATGTGTTATTGCACTGATTTAAAAAACAAAGCTGACAGGCAGACTTGCCTAAATTGGGTGGGTTGGTGCTTGCCCAGAGCTGTCACTAATTCAATGCAGATTGTCGGTGTAATATGAGTGCTTATTTTCAAATGAAACAGGGTGGAAAAAGTGTATGCAATCCTCAGGAGATTCTGATTTCAAAAGGCATGGTTGGAGCTGATTAGCCTGTTTACCCTGCCAGTTTTCACACAGACAGATAGGCAGTCTCATGCATTTCCCCAAGCAGATTCTGGAGAAGGCTGAGAAAGAAAATGAAATCTAATTTCATTTCCATTTTCTACTCAACTCATTGCTGTAATTGGAGATAGTGCTTTAGCTGGAGACCTCTTGTCATGAGTGGGAAGAAAGGGCTAATTTCTGGGACTATCTTTGTGGCAAATCATTAGTTCCTGAGCACACTTCTTTACCTTTGACTGCCAGGAGTGGGATTTATTAACCTATTGGTTATAGAGCAAAATCCATCCACTTTTTCTTTCAAAATTTTGGTTCTGGGCTACAAAGGAACTCATATTTTCACTACATTTTTAGTTACTTACAACATTTATGTTACTTACTAGGTCTTTTTTTCCCTTGCATACTTGCAGAGTATTTAATTTAATGACAAGAGTAGAAGTCTTCCTTTCTAAATGGTTCCCTGTTTCCAGATTCGAAGTCAGTCTGGCTTCTTCTTTGGGAAGCCCTATGGTCTCCTCTTCAGTTTCAGCTGTTTCCATAAACATACGTTTACCATTGCTGTTCTTTAATGGAAAAAGGTAATTTATTTCCCTAATTTTAACACCCTGCTCCTTTCTCTTGCAAATAGGAGCATCCTGAATGCAAGAAAACTTGAGTTTTGAATTTGGTTCAGCCTGTCCATGGCCCTAGAGAGCCACAGACAGTTCAGGGGGAACTGCATTAGCTCTGGAGGATTCACATAATTTGGACTGATTTTCATAAGCATACCTAGGACAGTTTTTGGATTGCAAGACTTAGGGTCCTTGGGATTGGTGAAAAATTATGTTAATTTTCTTCTTTTCTATAATTGCTAAATAGTTGTAGAGAAATTCCAA